GTACAGGGCTTCCTAGTGTCTCCTACGTGCTAATTCTTCCTTTGATTTCTACTGCTTCCCTGCTCTTCGCTCTTGCCAGGTTTGGTAATTTCAGTAAATAAAACGTGAATGCTGAACAATTTTGATACTTTTTCCACTAACAGCTGATCATACACAGTAGCATTCAAGTACAAGAAACAGATTTTTCCTGAGTCTAACATCATTCAGCTGGGTAAGGAAAAAATGCTCAGTGTCTATAGCATTCTATTACTGCCGCAAAGCTGATCACCATTAATCACATATTTACCTTACTTTATTTCACACCTCCCCAGGATTAATTTTGCAGAGATTGCAAGGAAGTGCTCTTCCCTATGAAATTGCTGTATATATACCACTATATACCAGAAAAAACAATATGAAGCAACTAAAGAAGCAGCATTATTATTTCCTAACTTGCAGCACACAGTCAAATGCCCATTCTCAAAGGATTTTTCTGCTCAGCATGTATTTTTTCATCCTACACTTATTATTGTTCATCAGTGTAACACACAAACTTGGGGTCACTTGGCTCTTTGACATTTAAATAAAATTAAATCAGTCTGAATTCTTTGACTTTTCAGACCCTCAGGTAGTTCCTATTAGCTTCAGTGGGTGTAGATCACTTCTCAAGCAGCAAAAAAAAACCAAGCAACAAACCCTTTTCAATGGCTGCAAACAAAATATCCACTTGTGATGCACTAAAAATAAATATATTCCTAATTATTTTCTAAATATATGTTCTTCACATTATCACACAGATATCCAAATGATGATTTGTGCTTTCCTAACAGGAAAAAAAAAAGAGATATTTTTATATATGGACATATATGTCTATATAAGAATATATCAAGGTGTTTTACATCCAGAATGAAATTATATTTCCTCAGAAACAGCTTCTGCTAAACAAGGGATATTTAATAATCTAGTTACAACACCTAACAAGACGTAGGTTAACTATTTGTTCATTTAACAGTTGTAAATATGTACTGTGTCAATTACCTAAATGATGTGAAAGAGTTCAGTGTTAGTAGGGCAGACTGATACAAATATACACTACAGGAAAAATAAGGAAGCTTGCTTGTTTCACCTTATGTTCAAAAGCATCTTTTCACATAAGACTGCTGCTCATGCCAATTCAAATGGCTTATTGTCCAACTATTTCCTTTGCTAACACACAGAGAATAGAAGGATACTCATATCGGGCAAGTCTCTTCACTGACATATCTACTATCTTCAACATAAGAAACACCTCTCCCTTAAAAACCATGCTTTGCCTATGACATGCACCAACCAAAATGCTGCAAAACAGCACTGTCAAACACACCTCCAGTGCTTCATTTGGCCAGGGTTTGCAGTTACGTAGGCATAGCTAGCACAATACTGGCAGATTATTTTCTTAGATATGCAAGGCATTTCCCACTGAGAAAATAGTGTATAACATTAATATATAGATCTACAGGCAAAGGATGGTTTGATGGTTTACGGCAACAATCTGTCATGCAAGCTCAAATGCTGCTTTCTGAAACCATGCAAAAGTTCCATGGATGACAAGGAAAAATTATACACACAGAACTACAGCATATAGGTTTTCCTACTTAAAAATAAATATGTACATATATATATATACCTAAAGTACAAGCATGAAGCATACATTCTCATATGCTAATACAAAACATTAAAACGTCTCTTTTTTCCCCCCCATTACAAAATCAATGTGTTTTTACAGCTAACAGCAAACAATGGATGGATATTAACAACTGTAAGCTCTGGAGAACAATCACAAGGTTTTGCAAAGTGTTCAGCAGTAATGAAATCCAGAAGAGTTTGGAAAATACAGGAGATTAAAAACAAATTCGGTGGAAGACTGAATTTGTTCCAAAGTGCCTTGCAACACTACAGTCAACTTGTGTTAGCTGAACTACTACCATGTAATATGCTTCAGTGCATATTTATTGATTCTGGCTTTCCAGAATCACAACAGCAAAAAAATACTTTGTCTTGTTCTAATCTGTTCAAAAAAGCAAGCAATGATGTACAATAAAGCACCTAAAAGTGCTATTTTAATGTTTAATCACATAGAATGTTTATTTTTAAATGAATACCTAAAAATAATCTCAGCACACAGTAGAAGTTTTCTGCAAATGACTTCAGATTTTGAACTCTGTGATTCCATGAGAAGTAAAAAGATATCATTAACACATAAAAATGGTGCATCAAGTACATTGTGTGTGTCAGACAGTAACAATCAGGAGAAAACTAATTTTCCAAGAAAGCACTATCTCTTTCACAAGCTAAGGAGGAAAAAAAACTTTTCTCCTGATCCAAAAATGTTAATTTTTTTTTTTAATGTTTGCTACATATATACATTTTTATGTGAGTACATATAATTTTTAAACAAGTGTAAGAAAACAACCTGGCACAGATACACCTGTGTGTGCCTTAGAACCTTCTGAGTTAATAATACCTTTTACTTTGCACTTGCAACAAGTGTGAAAAACACGTACAGTCACTCAACAAGGCTCAGTTTAAGTTGTGCTAGTGGTCTTTTTATGAGCCAAAGAATATCCTTCAGTCACATATTTAAAAGCCCTTAACCCACTTTTCAGACCTACAATACTTTCCACAGCAAGACTAGGAAGTCTGCACTTCTAACAAAAAAAAAAATGAAAAGGAAAAAAAAAGAAAAACCAAAGCAAACATGTTTGCTTGTGTTTACACTAGTGATTTTTCCCCTTAAAAGTAAGGGTGTAAGAGATGTAATGGGACAGTAAAGGTCTACTGAATATAAAAAAACCCAAGTGACATTAAGCAGCTTCAGATGATTTTCACGCTACCAGCCTTAGCATTTTTAATGAATACTTTTTCATTTTAAAATGGTTTTGTCTGTCTTATAACCATATGAATGACCCACACAAACAACTGAGCCATTTCCTGTGCTGGGGAAGCAATGAAAGTGACTCTAAAAAAAAGTGCTAATGTGCAAAAAAAGTGCAAAAACCCCCACTAATTAAAGAAGTTTCCCTAAAATTTGTTTAGAAATTGAATCCCGAATCCCTACTCAATACAAAGACTCCAAGAGTGGTTCACCACCACACCGCATTTTACAAGACAATTAAGTGTTAAATCATTAAGTGTTAAATCAAAACGTAGACAAGCAGTTTCAGTCAAATTTATGACAGAGGCTGACAAAACAAAAGGCAAAAAATGCGTGCACAGTAACAATTTCTGTACTAGTTTTAATAATAATAATAATAATAATGGCCCATCTTCGCGAACGAAGATTTGGGGAAAGGTCTTTTACCTTTCCAGCCTGCGCAATGGATTTTTTAGGTGAGACACAGCCTGCGCTGAACTGAGCCCACCCTTTAATCCTAAGGTTCATCTGCCGGGGCCAAGCAAGCTTGGACAATGGCAGTGAGGTCCTCAGGACGTAGGTTTGTTTAGAGTGTCCTTCTCATAGATGGATGGCCACACAGGGCTAACGACCTCCATCAGGCCAGGAGACCGGGATTTGAACCCGTGGTCGCAGCAGTGAAAGTCCTGCAAGCTAACCACTAGGCCACCAGGGGTTTTATTACCCAAGTATACAGATACAGTATTAAGTATGAGCAGCCGGAAGTTCACTCCTCTTACGCTTATGCCTTCAAAAGCCTGCTGGAAGTTGGCATTGATGATGAATGCAAAACTCAAAAGAGTTTTCCCTGACCCTTTCTATGGGTTGGCTTCTCTTCTATTGTCCCTCAAGTCACCAAGTACCATCTGGTCCAAAGCAATGCCACAACTGTTTAGCAGCGGGAGGACCTCATAAAGCAGCACAAGCTCTGCATTCCTGACTGCAGAAGTGGATCTCTGAATCTTTTCTCTAGGGAACATATACTGGTCTTGTTTAGTAAATTTCATACATCTCTGAAAATCTGGGAGAAGTCTCTAGCACTACTGCAAGAAATATCAGGAAAACAGAGAAACAATTTGGACCCAAGTAACAAGTCAAATCTATGAACTGCCTCTCCTGAATCAAGTGTATGTCATTAATCATACTTAAACATCCATAACAATATTAAGCAAGCTACTTTATCTTCTTTGCAAATCCTTAAAGTCACAACATGCACTGACATAAACCAAAATCAGGCCAAAATGAGACAAAACGTTATTACTGCGAGTGGTGCATCGATGTTCACCACACCCCTCCCACACAGTTAAATGATCCCGACTCTCTTCTCCATATCCAGAAAATAAGCTGCAGGAGTGCTTCGTATGGAAGCACTAAAACATATTCGGACTTCAACTTGCCTTACCTCACTGAAAAGGCAGTTTACTCTCCCAGTATAAATCATTACATGATCCAAGACAAATATCTTCACCGTAAACATCCCGCATCCACTTGGAACATCCCCTCTCATCCACACACCAGATAGCAGTGAAAATGTATTTCAAGGCCTGTGAGTCCCAGGCAGAAACCATATTACATGACACATTACATCACACTGGACACAGGCAGGCGTATTTGAATTCAAAAGGCTTATTTTAACGTACGTCTATTAGATAAAAGCTATCTCTGCATAACTGCAGCTCTAAAAAACCCCCCCTCTGTTTTAATTAAGGAGAAATGATAAAGTAGATTGTATTTCCTGACCAGTGGGTGGATTCCAACGGTATTAAAGATCCTGTGATCATCCTGCACACTTCAGGTTCCCTCTCAGCTTGGCACGTGCATCTATGCCTTTGCGGCTCCCTTTTCTTTATACAAGCTGGTGCACATGCCGAGCACCCACTTTACCTCATGAAATACAAATCACAATAAGAAAATGCAACCGGTGAGCTAACAACCTTCCCGAAGCTCACGGAACAATGCAGATATTACACCCGCCACCATCGATCTGCACAGCGACTCCCCCTGCGAGTCCCTTCCTTAAACTGCTTCGCTGCCATCACTCTCCCACACCCCCCGACATTTGCCCCGAGCCCCGCACCCCGTCACTCACCCGCGATCCGTCCCCTCTCCATTTTGGAACGCCGCTTCTCCTCCCACACCGAGCCCACCCCGCCGGCGAAGCCCGCGGGCGGGCACAAACGCCCCGCTCCCCGCGGCGAAAACTCGGCCTGTGGCTCCCCGCGGTGGGGGCGGCGAGCGCCCGGGGGCACCGCGGGCATCGCCGCCGGCCCGGCCCGCTGTCGACTGCCTGCGCCCCGCCACGGACCGCGCTGGCCGGAGGGCGCCCGGTGTGATGGCGATGCCAGGGCTGCAGCCCTGGCGGTACCTGAGAGGTGCGCGCCGGCAACGGCCCGAGGCGAGCAGGCCGAGCCGGGCGGCGGCAGCCCCGCACTCACCCAGCAGCAGCAGCTTCAGCTCCCGGCGGGCGTCCCGCTTGTCCCGGCGCAGCTGCCGCTCGATCTCGTCGTTGATCCGCCGGGCTTCCTTAGCTTCCTCGCTCAGGCAGCACGCCATGATGGACTCCAGAGTCATTCTTCCTAGCTGGTTCAAACACAGCCCCCACCCCCCCTAAACCCGCACGCACACTCGCACACACGCACCCCGCCGCCGCTCCGGCCCCGGGGGGCACAGGCACTCTTCGAGAGCCCGGGGGCCGCCGCAGGGCAGGCGCGCAGGCGGAGCCGCCTCGATGCCACACAGGGGCGAGAAGAAAGGCAGGGCCGCTAGCGGAGCGGATCCCTGCTCCCTGCAGCTGACAACTCCTCCTCTCCTCTAAATCATGCACCAAACAACATGGAAACATCCACCGCGGCGGCAGCAGCAGCGCTACCTAGCCCAGCCGCCCCTTGCCCCGCTGCCCCCCTTCCCTCGTCGCCGCCGTCCGCAACCTGCGCGGTCCCTGAGTGTCCCTGGCGACCGCCGACACCCCGCCGCCCTCCGATTCGACCACTCCACCTCCCGTAGAACTGCTAATGCCCGCTAATCCCTCCCCCGCTCCGCACACATCTCCCCGCCGCTCCCCGCCCCCGGAGCGGGAACCCAGCTCCTGCGGAGTGGGCGAGACCGCTGCTGCCCGGCAGGAAGACGTTCGCCGTGACCGCCCCTTCTCCCCGGCGCCGCGGCCGCTCGCCCCTCCGGCGGGACTGGGGGTCCGCTGCCGAGGACCTGCCGGTGCTGGGGCCTGCCGGGGACTGGAAGGGGCCGCGCTTGACCGGCTTTTAAAGGGATTGGCTCCGCGGGCGTGGTGCAGGAATATGGCGGCCCGTCTCCCGCCGCCGCTCCCGCTCTCCCTCCGCGCCACCGAACGCCAGGGAAGAGCGGCCGAGGGAGCGGAACCCCCGCCTGCGCTGTGCCGCTCCCCACAGCGGCGGAGGGCAGGGGAGGGGAGGCGCGGGGAGAGACTGGGCGGATTCTCACACCAAATGGCCGCGAGGAGCTTTGCCTGCTCTAGTTTGTCCTGCCAAGCAGCGCCTTCCCTATTAACGTGTTTGCTTTCGCTTCCTTTGTTTTCAGTCGCGGGCACACATTTTTATTTAGTTCCAATCCTAGGGATTGTCACGCACTGGCGGAGAGGAGGCAAGGAGGCAGGGAAGGGAGAACGCCTTCTCCACCTTTGGCTGGAGTGGGAAAGCAGGAAAGCAGAGCGGGACACACGCAGACCGCCAGGCATCGTTCAGGTTTAGCGCCCTAACACCCGGCCCTGCAGGGGAAGGCAAAACCGCGCGTTCGGCAGGGACGCCCTGGCACACCTCAGGGAACGACACCGCCGCGGCCGATGCTCGGCTGCGTGGAGCTCCACTCACCCCTCGCCTCAGCCCCTGCCTCAGGCCCAGTCCCTGAAAGCTGTCCCCACGTAGCCTCCGGTAGCCCCCGGGGTGATGGCACACAATCGGTCAGAATGCACTGACACGCCTTCAGTTTTTGTGAAATTCCCACACCTGCACTTCCTCTGGCCACCTCCATATTAAGCTCCTTGTGTCTAGGAATGTTGCCAAATCTGCCGGGAAACACGTACTAGCCTATGTAGTGGATAGAAGGGCACATCGCTCTGCATCCTCTAAGTTCCTTTCCAGCACCCGCTGACATCTGTTTTAAAATTCGCATGCACTTTCCTAAAACTTTACCTAAGTATTGATAATATGAATTCAGTAAAGGGATAAGAATTTATCTGCCTTAAAGAGTAAGACTACAAGGGAATTAAAAAAAAAGAATAAACCAATCAAGAAAATAATACATTCAATCAATTTTTAGATAATGAAAAAATTCATTACTTTAAAAAATGCATGATTTTCCACATAGATCTATATTGTAATAGTATTTATGTATAATGTATAAAAATGGTTAATATGACTTGGAATTTTTTTTTATTCCAGTCAATTAATACATGACTTCTAGTCAAAACTGTGTAATTCCAGCTATTAATAATAGATTATATTTCATTCAAAGCATATTTTCTATTTTAAAACCTGTATGTATATAGGTGTATCTATATATACATCTGTTTTATGTTCTGGTTCCAGATGAATACATTAATATTAAATGCAATAAAGATTTCTACAGATTGAATTACAGAAACAATAAAAAGCAACAAAAGGGGGGGGGGGCACATGGTTCTTCAAGAAAATAATTCTCAAGATAGCAGAGTTTTCTTCTAAATGCCAGGTCCAAAAGACTGAAGATGAATGTATGGTAAAAATCACAAGAAATACTTGATGGATGTTTTGTACACAGTGTTCAAATCCACAGCAACCATCTTCAGGAATCACATCTTATAAAAAGGGTAGGAAGAGGTCAATGAGTTTCCAGCCTTTAGGTAAACTGAATCAAATCCACCCCCGAATTAAGGGCACACCATTCTATTAAAAAGTGTAACATTCTGCAGTAGATGAAGTCTTGAATAAACATTCTTAATCCTTTTATATGCTCAGTGTAGAAAGCATGAACACAGTGTGTACCTCAAATGTAGAGCTGTCATTTAATGTTGCACTTTTAATGAGAAAAGACACCCCATGGATCGTAAATTTAATCTGTATGTACCACTCTCATTGATATAATGTGATTTCAAATTTTTACTGAATAAATATCTTCAGATTTCTAATGGATGAGCCATCTAGTCCTGACTCCAGCACCAGCAGATAGCCATAACGTACTATTTTACCCATTTGCTTCATGACTTTGTTGAAGTCAGAAGAACTCCATTATGGACAATTACATGATAATAAACCTATGAGGAGGTTTCTTTCCAGACCTCAATTCCATAATGGTTGGCTTTTGTTTTGAAATATGAAACGACCTTTATAAATATTTTATCCTAATAAGAACTATCAGTAAATGACAGACATCATTATTGCCCATACAGGTAATTATTTTCCATAGATACTATCCATACTGTTACCTAATCCTGAACAGATACTTCCTGATAAGCCTCCTCTGTAGCACTAATAATCTCATATTCCTCTATCCAAGTAGTCTTTAGTGCATGGTTCATAGCAACCTGCCTGTGAGACATTTTATTGTTGCTTACTGCCACAGGAAATTAAAAGTGAGACTGACAGAAGGAGAAAAGGTGGTATTAAACACCCTGCATCTTTGGTATTCTTGCTTATAAGACAGCAAAGATTGGGAAAGTACCACTCTGTTTTATCATGTCCATAACATTCTTTGCACTAATCTATTCCAGTTTTCAATTTCTTCCTTCCATATGCCTGAAGATATTTATTGCCAATCTCCTCTGTCTCTTCTGCCTAAGGTAGGTTTTCTGTGATTTTTTGATAGATTCCAAACAGTATCTGAACTTGGTACTCACATGACAGTAAAACAGAAGATTGTGTATAGCAACATCACAGGATTTTCATAGTTAGTCAGTATCCCCTCTTAAGCAGTTGGATATCTTGCAAGTGCTTTTTGGTTGCCATTGTGTGTTAAGATGTTTTCATAATGCTATACACAAGTGCTTCTCAGTCTTGTTTGTGAATACATACAGTAAATTTAGAGGCCGTCAGTATGTCTGAGGCTAGTAAATTATCCTTCCAGTATGCCATCCTATTCAGGTTTTTGTTTGTTGGTTTTGTTTGGGGTTTTTTTTAGGTGTAAAAAAACCAAACCAAACATACAACAACAACAACAACAAAACCAAAAAAACCCAACCCAACCCAAATAAAATATATCTCTTGTTTCTCTACTGTTAAATGAGTAACATCCAGTATTTGCAATCCTTCAATTGATATTATCAGTTTGTTGCAGTGTGTGTTGTTTTGACAAAGTGTTACTTATTTAAAAGTAAAAGCTTGTCTGCCAAGGTGCTAAGGTACAGGTTAAAGACAAGGGAAGGGTTAAAACTCCCTATTTTTTCACCTACCTCATGTAAAATTTTAGAAACTTCCTTCCTTCTACCTATTTGCATGTCGAGGTTCTTATGGATGACCTATTTCTGAAAAAGCACAATTATTTTTCAGTACACTTTTGTTGTTCAGAGGCCTTTCCAGATATTACTTTCCACTAGAGCCAGAGGAGGGGTGTTGTGTAGGGAAGCGCGAGTGGCGTCCCCGCCGTGCCCCCACATCCCCCACAGCGCAGCACAGCGCGCTGCCAGACGCGCACCCGCGGCGGTGCGCACAGCCCGCGGGACAGCGCCCCGCTCCGGGAGCGTCCATCCCCGACACAGCGCTCCCCGCTGGAGCGCCCGGGCGCCGCGCCTGCTCCGGCGGAAAAGGCTGGAAGACAGCTGACTGAGCTCCTTAACTGTTCACGGAACTGATCCTGGTATATTGTATTGGGTTCGTTGCTGTGGGGGGATTTTTGATTTTGTTTTCCCCATTTTTCTTCCTGAATTTGCTGTTAGTTTAAGGATTTGTATTGGCTTCCCCAAAGGCTCAGCTGACCCTTCAAGACTTCTCAAGGAAAATGTCCAGTAGGCACAGTAAGATCCAGACCACTGTTTCTGTGGCAATAAGCTGCCAGATCACCTGCATGGGCCAATTGTTCCCATATTGTTTTGCACAGGTCTGGTGGAACAGATTCATAAATTTCAACCCTCAAACCACTCTCTGCCCCCCCTCAAACCAAAATATGCTTGACTTAGCCACATGACACAAATTACATT